AAAATATACTTTGTATTTTGGGAGTAGATTTTTGAGATAAAAAGATAAGAAGAAAAGGATCAGTTATGAAGACGTAAAGTTTCTCCACTAAATTGGAATGCATGTTCATTCTAGTTTTTGATGCGTCCCCTGAATCTTTACCCCTTTTTCGTAGTTTCTGTCTCTGGCGACGTTGTCAGCTTTGTTGTGCTCATAATACTGAGAAAATGCCCCAGGTAAGAAATGGCTACCTACTAGCTGCAATGGGAGCTTATGAACGCGCACTTTTTGCACATTTTTGCAGGATATTTCACAACAGTCGAAAAAGTTAGCTCTGCGACATTATCTGCAATGAACAGAAGCAAAATCTATTGAATGCACAAAAAACCGGTCAAAAAAGAACTAAACTGAAGAAAAAACAAGATTTCCAAGAACCCATTTTTGCTAAATTGCTTGTTCAACTCAAAACATGGCGTACGACGTTGTTCAAGAGCTTCGATATGAACACAGTTTGTTGGAATGAAGTTCAAAAAGAAGAAGAAATGTACCAGAGCCGAATGCCACATGCTCCGCATTTGGGGTAGCGAGGTAACACGCAACGCGCGGAGACGCAGACGAGCAAAGGAGAGAGACCAGAGCCAATATTGCATTTGACTTTGCTCGTAGATCCCAGCGGATTCCTAATGAAACCCTGCATTATATATCAACCTGATCGACATGAAACGACAAGGAGCACTGGCAACGTTGTAATTTCTTCTCAACCAGACAAAGCAGCATTTTCGTGCCTCCGACTATCACAACAAAACCCAAATAATTCATTCATCTTGTAGATGATCACTGGTTCACTGGTTCTACAGTCACCGTGAGCTACATCTCTCTGCAAAGATCTCCTCAGAAGCTCAGTTAGAGCCTCGGAGATTGACCACTTACGCAGCCAATCCTTTTCGGCGAAGTTTTCGTAAAGTAGCTAACATGCTTCTGCATGCTCGACTTTCCCCTGGTAGCATGCACTACGCAAAATTTGTGCTAAAGACGTTAGCCAGAACTCCTCCGTGAATTTCGTTATAGACAGACACCTGACACACACGCCCGAAAACACGTAAATCTTAAACCGTTACCAGAAGTTATGATTTATTGCATACAACAGGGATTTACCGATAAATTATGTAAATCTCTCAAATAGAAAACGCAGCTTTCTCATTTTTTAAGCAAACGCTCGGCCGCGCCACTGTGGCTTGCATGATGATTACTCTCCCACACATTTTTTCAAGTAAGAGGCAGCACAGTAGAGGGTCACCTGGTCGCGAAAAAGATTTTTTGTTTTCGCTCTGGACGAGTTTGAAAAAAGAAGATGCGTTTTAAGTTCATCTAAGTATCTAAGTAAGATCCGTTTTATACTCGTGACATATTAGAATTTCTCGAGGACTCATGGCTAAATCCTAAATGCAAGCTTCATATTGAGTATATAGGGTGCTCGCTTGCCATAGAGTAGGTGGACGACTGAAGACCATATACTTATTGATAAATCTCCATTCTAGAGCACTGTGTTTTACACTCTCTCGGAATTTTTCTAAGTAGATCTACGAGGCTGAAACTCTCTCCCCTATGATCAAGACCCGGAACAGTCCATAGTCTAGTTTTCGTGGCGATTCACCGGGCCCTTCTATCGGTTTATTGATTTGTTTACTTACATCCAAGGAAATGAAGCTTATTACATCATTTTCTAGATTAGGATGGAGAGTAGCGGTACATCTTATTCTCAGTTTCTGCAAGCAAGCGCGGCAAGAAGAAGCTACCTCAAGTGGTACCCGTATACCTTTAGAGATGCTGTATGCGCTTATGCTAAGGCACAAAATTTTTCGCATTTTTGAACGGGGTCTCAAAAAGATCAAGTCCATCTCATTACAAAAATGTTGAAGGCATTGAGGCTGCTGTAGATGTGTTTAGATGGCTAAATAATGGTGATGGCATCGAAAAGAAAGGCGTTTTTCTTACAATCATCGACAAGACTATGACTTCAGGAAAAAACATTGTAGTAGATGAGAGAATTCGAAAAGATTTTCAAAACTTTATGATATCAGAAAAAAGATTTAAAATACACTCACTTTCGTCACAATCTTCGCGCAGCATATTTCGAAAATGGGCGGATACGTAAAGTGGTGCAAGCATTGCGAGATAGATAGAAAAGCAGCCGAATAGAGAACAGCACAATGAAAATGTTCTTCAACGTGTAATATGGATATGCTGAACACACATCCATCTCACAACGCTTACGAGTACATTCGTGGTAGACTAGAAAACCTGATGAGTGAGATAAGCAGCTCGGGCATGGCCGGGTATGCCAGCTAGTATAAACATAAATTCGGATATTGCATTAGTCAACAATAAACTGATAGCAAGAGATCATGATAAAACAGATTAATCAGATTTTGACTTTCAATGCCAAACGACGCATATATACTTTCTATTTTTATTTTACGTTTTGTGCAAAAATATCCACAATTCTAAGCTATTCTGGTTATAAATGTTTCTAATACTTCATAAATTATTATCTTCTGTTCACAAATTCCCTTAATATATTAGGTCATCCAAAAATAATTTTCGGCTTTTGCACCCAAACCTTTAAGAATAGATTTATTCAACCTTTTCACTCAAAATAGGCACCATTATGCTAAACACGTCTTTGCCAACGTTCCGCAAGCGGTTTTTCCTCATATTTTGAAGAAATCCTCATTCAAAGAACTGACG